GCAGTCTTTGCTGTTTTCCTCCTGCAGCTCCGGTTCGCTCCCGGCCAGCCCCTCCTTCTCCAGCGAGGTCCTGTCAGTGCCGCTCCTCCCAGGGAATGTGCTGCTCGAGGACGGTGCAGGGCTGTTTGCAGACATGAAGAGTTGCTGAAATACACGTAAGCAGGAGTATTTAGAAGTCAGCAAACTCTGGCCCAACCCCCTGCACAGACAGACACACACGTGCAGCGGGAGTTCCACCGGGTCGCTTCCCCAGTGCCAGACCCCGTGTGGGCCCTGACAGCTGCCTGGCCTTCAGTGAAAGGCACTTCAGAGGCATAAAAAAAAGTCACATAAAACACTGGGAAAACATTAAGGATAAGCCATCATATCCTGGCTGCATCAGATGAACGTCATGCATGAACTCCAGCAGGAGGTTTTGAGCAGCTCGGGTTCGTTTCTGGTCTATCAGTCCCTGTGCCCAGAGGGATCTCCTATCCATGCCTACCAAAGTTACATCCACCACGCTGTCAAGTCCACTTCACTCAACCCATTCTGCTCTTGCTCATTTTCCAATCCCCTAACTCTTTATTTTTTTTGGTCTTATTTTACGTGAAGCACAAAATCTCCTTCTGGGTACAACTCCCGACCTCGGAGCACGTACTGAAGGAAAGAAGGAATTTTTAAAAGCAAGTTTCTCCTGAAACTTTCTTGATTGAAAGGGGAATTTGGGAGAAAGAGCTGGTTTGAGTGACTAGCGAGGAAATAATTATTCTGGAGAGAAGCAGCGTTGAACAGCTCATTTCTTCTACCGCTTTACAAAGCGGACACGACCTAGGACTCCTAGACTGGAAGCAAGTCGTTTCTCCAGGAAATCTTGAATATTTTCATAGAAAATATTTCTGTACAGTAAGTTCCTCGGGAACCACTTAGCTGATAAAATATTTTTAAGTACCATCCCGTTCTTTGCATGACAATAAAAGCCTTGTACTAATTTGGGCTCCCGAAAGCCCACACGAACTAAACTTAACGCTGTCACACAAGCGAAACGAGGCTCTCTGTGCGTGTCTTACCTTCAGATCGTGGTATTGACCTTGAGCCAGGAGGAGATACTGGTACAATATTCTGCAGGAAAGCCTGTAGCTTTCATCAGGAATGTGAATTACAGCCACCATTGCAATCTGCAGGCAGAAAAAAAAGCCACGTTTAGTTGAGTTTCCCTCTGGTTGTATCGCCCTGTGGAGCCGGGCTGGGAGAGCTGGGGGTGTTCAGCCTGGAGAAGGGAAGGCTCCAGGGAGATCTTAGAGCTCCTTCCAGGGCCTAAACAAGCTCCAGGAGAGCTGGAGAGGGACTGGGGACAAGGGATGGAGGGACAGGACAAGGGGGAGTGGCTTCCCACTGCCAGAGCACTGGGTTAGATGGAATATTGGGATGGAATTCTTCCCTGTGAGGGTGGGCAGGCCCTGGCACAGGTTGCCCAGAGAAGCTGTGGCTGCCCCTGGATCCCTGGGACTGTTCCAGGCCAGGTTGGATGGGGCTTGGAGCAACCTGGGGTAGTGGAAGGTGTCCCTGCCCATGGCAGGGGGTTGGAATAAGGTGGGCTTTAAGGTGCCTTCCAACCTAAACCACCCCAGGATGCCAGGATTTGGCATCCTCTGGTACAGCCTCTGACCTGCTTAATCCAGGACAACCAGGAATTCAACAGCGTTGACTTCAAGCACAGATCACAAAAAAAAAAAAAAAAAAAAAAAAAAAAAAAAAAAAAAAAAAAAAAAAAAAAAAAAAAAAAGCTGGGTAAAAAGACAAATTTTGCTGGAAAGGATTCTGGAACTCCATGGGTTGCCTTTGGAGGAATTTCTCTGGAAATACAAGCCCTCTAAGCTTGCCTGCTGAGCCTAAACCACCCCCCCCAGCCTGCCCACATTACGTAATAGCCTCTAAAAGTAGGGAAAAAAGAAAGTGAAATTCAGTAGTATTCTAGTTCCCAGAAGCTGTCAAGAGAGAAATGAAATATAGAAGCTGTTTTGTTGAAAAAAAAAAAAAAAATTAAAAGCAAATCAGAGTTGCACTTCCAAATCCACACATGGCTAATTAAACAGAGAGTTTAAATGTGTCTGTACCTGCACATATGGATTTGCACTGACTGAATTCACTGTTCTGTGGGGAAAAGGTCTTTTTTTTTTTTTTATTAAATCACAACACCTGAGATCTAAGCTTCTTTCAGCTTAGCCCTGCCAGTCTCCAAATAATTTCTGCAACTCTTATATATGGCCATGCTACTTCTCTGGAGTTTAGAGGAAAATCATGGCACAAAACCAAAGGGGGATGATCTGGGTGACAAAATCAGTTAGGATGAAAATTAAGCTCATTCCTGGAAAGATATACTGGGAAATCAGACCCCCCAAGAAAGAGATACTGGAGTACCATCAATAGTGATGGACAGACACACACAAAACAATTCAAAATGGTTGCATCATACTGGCAAACATCCTTTTCCACAGAATATTTGTATTTTACAAGTTTGTTTCAACAAACCAGATGCGATTCTGACATTTGCCTGGCAAGGACAGGGTGTAGTTACTCCTTGACCAGATTTATAGATTCTGGATGAGCTCCTTTCCTCCAAAACCAGAGGAAAAATACCCCCCCACACACTCTCTTTCCACCCCTTTCTGCTATGCTGAGAAACAAAAGAGAGGTTTTACAAAGTCGTGTCCATGCTAGTATCAAACACATTCAAATATTAAACTTACAGTCTTTGTATTAAACTATAAAAATGTATATATAAACACATAAAAATTTATTAATCTGGGGGAAACACCTCGAGCGGGATCAGGAGGGAGCAGGGCAGTCCTACAGGCCAGGTGACAAGAAGCCAAGGAGAGGCATCACCTGGAAAGAGGACAGATTTCCCTGGCACTGGTGTGATCACAATTTCCAAATGAATGCACGGAAAAGCGCTCAGTGGATTTCGGGATTTGTGTTATTGTTCAAGCAGTTGGTGCAAACACATAAAAATAATCTCAAATAATTCAAAAAATAATCAATTTAGGGTACAGAAAGGATATTGAGCCGCATGTGCCAAGGCTGAAGCTGCTTTAACAGCAGGAGATTAGGAGGAGACCCTTTTTTTGGGGAGCTGGGTATCTCCTGTCAGTCTGTACCTTCACCCCTTCCTGCAACTCACCTGGAGCTCCTGTGAGACAGAGCTGCAGGGCACAGACCTGTGGCAGAAAGGGAATTTCTGTGTTTCCAACAGCCAAGTCAGCAATCAGCTCAGTATCTGTGCCAGACATTAAAAAAAAAAAACCAAAACCCTCCTGCCTCGCCAACAGAATCCAAAATTCCGTATCGGCGCAAGAGCTCCACCACAGGTCTGTGAGATCCAGAAAATCAGAGTAGCAGGTGACTGACCTGCCACAACCCTCCTTCCTCTGGCCACAGGGATCTTGGCACGCAGGGGCTTTGGGAAATAAGCACCTTTTAAATGCCACACCTCATTTTTATGTTAAAATCATCCTTTTTTTTTTTTAACTCCACGCTGCTCTGGGGACACCAGCGACAAGCGAGGCACAGGGAAGGGAAGCTGCTTTGTTCCAGCCTCTCTCCTGAAACATTCAGGCCTCAAACACAGTGACCCTAAAATATATTCTGCTCTCACTTACAATGTCATAAATTTCTCTGTCTTCCTCATCTGCCAG